ACTTAATGTAAAACTAAGAATATTATCCACTTTGGAGCCAGAGTCTTTAATCTACTTTCAGTGCCAACTTGGTCCAGGTGATCATCGGAAAGAGTTGGTATGCATAGCTTTATTTTTTATAAAATAAATAATAATCTTATACATTAAAATATTAGAAGAATGATAAGATTTATTATTGAATTTTTATACAAAAGTATAAGCGCATCCTTTATATTTCAAGAAAAATATTACTCGAAAAATACTATAAAAAATAGTGTTCCAAAAATACAATTGGTATACATATATATAGTAACCAATTTTAGTTGTATCGATCAGTACTATACAGTACTATGTCAATTGAGTTCTAATTTGATTGGCTAAAAATGGGGTACTCATGTCAATCATTGCTGTGCCGATAAAGGAGATAAGTCATATACACGCTGTGTCATTATAATTTTCCAAATATAATAATAATGATAAACAAAAAATTTAAACTAAAATAAATTAATTGTTTATTTATTTCATATAACTCAATAAATGTAATGTTTTTATTACAGCCGAAAAATATTATGATTATAGTTTTTCTGAGTATTTGGACCATATGACCAAATTTAATTCTGTTGACTTGTAGAATTCTAATAAAATAAAAAGTATCGAATTTGATCAGGTGGTTATCGAGATACCTTCGATCAATGTTGGAAAAAATTTTGCTGTAGTTATTATTTTGATAGATGTTTATATTTTTTAAAAAACTTTAATCAAAGGTATCTTGAGGACCACCTGACCAAATTCAATGATTTTCTTTTATTTTTAAACTCTACAGGCTTGTAGAATTCTAATAAAAAAATTATTGAATTTGGTCAGGTAGTTGTCGAGATACCTTCAGTCAAAGTTTTTTAAAAAATAAAAATGTCTATAAAAATAATAGCTGCGCAAAATTTCTCTTTGATTGAAGGTATCTCAATAAACACATGACTGAATTCAATGAATTTTTTTTTTTATTTGAATTCTATTGACTTGTAGAATTCTAATAAAAAAAATTATCGAAATTTAACAGGTGGTTATCGAGATAGCTTCTATTAAAAAAATGATAATTGATCGGTTATTAGCCGACTATTTGACCAGTTACTTGACCAGTTATTTGACTGTATGACTGACCGCGAGTGACTGGTTATTGGCCGGTAACTGATAATAACCGACCGATGACCGACCGTGACCGACTGGACCCATCCCTAGTACCAATTACGACATTTTTCAAGCTAAAAATCGATGATCACATTTTTGCATAATCATTAATTTTGAGTCTAATAGAAAGACTATATAAGGAGAGTTATTAGATACTGGAGGAAAGACTTTTTTTCTTTTTCAGAACATTGTACAATCATAATACTTTCTTTGGTAATGATCATATTACTAAATAAAGAATTCTCTTGATCAATCTTAAATTTTTGGATTTCGCTTTTCTTGTAATACAAACAAAGACTAGTTTATTAATCAATATACTTTCACTCATTTTGACTAATAATCTATTCATATTTTAATGCTAATGACACTGTGCTAAATTGAAAGACAAGAGTAAAGCTCTCCCAAGTCATTACAATATACATACAAGATTTTCTTGACCGTAATACAAACTTATAAATGGGAGTTACAAATAAGAGTGTGCAAATTTTTTTATAAAGGATAAAATACGATACTGCAAGTATGTATATGCATATGCACGTACATGCATACGTGAAATGAAGTACAAGTAAATAAACTTTGAGATGCTAATTATCAATTCCCTATGGTCTCTAATCATAACATTCTAGTTATAGGTCTTGAATACCCTTTTATTTTTAAAGTTTTCAATAAATAAATAAATTACCTGCATCTCGTTTGGGATTAATAAATGTCATATACCTTTCTATTAAACCGCCTAAACTCACTTTTGTGTTTCGTTGTCTCGCTATTTTACACTATATAATTTTCAATTTTGATATTATTTTATTTTAGGAGAATTTACAAATAAGACCTGGAAAGCGAAAATAATTACAAATTCGAGCTCAAATTAAAAATACTTACATAAAACGAGCCAATTTTTTAAAATATTATATATAAGGGCCTAAAATAACAGTGACAATAGTCAAGTTATGGCATGATCGTTATTAGCATAAGGAATATAAACATCGATAAATGTAGTTATTAAGTACTGTTGGATTCGGAAAATTGTGACTCAGTCATTCCACAATCCAATATCTTGCATAATGTACGATATATAACCTTTTCGAAAGAGGGTGTTAGATTTGGCTGGTGGGTGAATAAGGCTTTCAGTAACTTGGATTCAACGATAGTCGTTAGGCGATTGTTCCTCAAGTCCTAGAGTCGGATTTACCCATAACAACATCTTATGATTTCTGAATTACGGCATTGTTTGTCGTAATTTGCAGTAATTTATTAATCGTGTTTTGTGAATAACATGTGATCCATTGATCCGAATTGGGTTATTTGTGTGCCATTCGATTCGTCCCATTGAGACGAATCGAATAGTATCAAAATTATCCATTTTTGAATTACTGGGTCTCGATAAAATCGAGTTTTTGTAAAAACAAATATTACCAATTACAGCATTGCGCTCCCACGACCAATACTAATTGGCCAGAGATTTTGATCGATAGGCCACCAGCGTAAAATCATTTTATAGTGGAATTAATATAAATTTGGCATCTACTTTGGGTTTAAATGCAATTCCAAATATAAACTAAGTTGTTATTGTCAAATATTATGTACTTTTTATTTTTATAGAACCTAAAATTACAACAAACGCAATAAAATTTACACTAATATATCATTACAGATTTAATAGACGTCAAGATTCCAGACCCTGCGATATTCTTGAAGTCTTGAAAAATGACACATACAGGCTTTGCTGTAAATTCAGTATTATCATAATTGCTTATAATGCTAATAAACTACTTTCTAAAGTTGGATATTATTCCTTCACGCTAACAAGCACCTATTATTCATGTTAAATACAATAGCAAAAAAAACGAGTCTGGTAAAAATAAATATATATATATCTATATATGAGGAATTTGCCTTGTGGTAGTAGTTCTCATCCTCGCAACAATAAATGTAAAAATATTTATGAGTGATGTGCTGCACTATTAAAGTGACTTGCAATATATTCCGAAACAAAGTATTCAATAAAATTATTTAGAATCCACATAGGTTTATTGTAAGTTGAAATTGAATTCTTTAAAATTCAAATGTGATTTGAGTGACGAAAAGGGAAAACCTGTAAATCGTCTCGCTCAATAAGTGAAATGTTTTCCCTTTCATCACTCATTTAGAATTCTATCACAATCTATGTTCATTCAAAATCAACCTAAACAGATTTTAAATGTAAAATCCTTCCATTCCGAAGTACAACATATATATCTTTGTGCGAAATTAGAATGAGTGTGGATTAATACTTATTTGATGACAAACATTCGACTTTGTGGAAATAGAAAATGCACTTAACATAAATACATACACGATATTGTTTAATTGATACAAAATCTGCAAAAAAAGAAATCAAAAAAATGCAATAATTATTATTGATTGATTATTGTTACATCCATTATTCACATTTGAGTGACGACAAGAGAAATCCGTAAATATTATTAAATAAAATTTGCGGATTTTCTCTTGGCGACACTCATTTCAAATCCATACTGTTGAACCTTCCAAAACTGGTCCTATCTGATAAGGATTAATCTACTAAATACGTTTTTGCTACATATGTAATTTTAAGAATTTTAATTCGTCCAACCGAAAATTTCGTCAAGGTATATTTGCTACAATTTTAGGTTGGAATAACGACAATCATATCGATATGAATTACTATAAGTAGTCGAAACAATATATAGCGATAGAGGCTATTTACACTACATGATCACACATGGCACAGCATGGATGCAGAAATACAATATTATTACTGCATTAAAACATTCATGCTGTTGTAAATTCGTGTTCTTTTATTTTTTTTCCTTTTTTGTTATTTTGTTGTTTCATTAGAGTTATTATTGGATAACTTATTTTAGTGGGTTTATGCTATTTCTTGTTAAAATCCATCACAACAAACTTCGATCTCAATGCATTGTTGCTAATATACTATCGTTTTATAACCCTTATTTTTATTAAAGCCACTTAATTTCGATTACACAAGATTACTTCCTCTCGTTAATTACTATCTTATTATCTACTTTCATTCAACTTGTATACTATCAGGATTAAATTAAAACCTTTTCTCGAACTTGGTAATCTGATTTCCAGCTCTAGGAGTTTTTCAACTTTCTAAGTTTGAAAGAATTCTCAGCCGTAACAATCACATTGAATTTCCTTTTTACGCATGCAAATACATATCTAAAAAAATTTACATAGTTATATAAGAAATCTTGTCCGCTATAAGATATACTCTATTCGGTAGTTAATGTGATATTACTGTTTTCTTGTCAGACAATCCCTTATTAGAAAGTTATTAAAATATTGGAATAGTAAAAAAATAACCTAATTTGTTGAAAGTTTTGGTTTATCAAGTAATTACCTGTAGACGTGATTTTTTCTGGCAAAAAAAAATTTTTTTTTTTTGTAATAATATTTTAAATAATATGATGAACGCTCAAGAATGGTTAGATCAAACTTATCAAAAAGAAAATCGAAAAGAAATTGAATCAATAAAACATGATGATACTAAGGAGTTAAGTGGAAAGTTGCTATTGGATGATTTTCATAAGCTTGTAGAATTGGATTTGTCTCATCATAATTTAACAAAGTTAGATATAAGTGATTGTTATGAATTAAGAAAAATAGTTATTGACCATAACAGTCTTACTAGATTACTAAATTATCCTAGAGATTTAGTTAATCCCGAAAAATTAACTTATTTAAATATAATGAATAATAATTTCGATAAAATAGATTTAAACCACTTTAGCAGATTTATCAATTTAGAAACTTTATTTATAGGAACTGATGACAGGGGCAAAATAGAACAAGGTTTTTATAATCGTTTTTACGGTCATCTAAGATCTCTAAAGCATCTGACTAAATTAAAGGCCTTGGACATTTGCGGTACTGATATTAGTAAAGGTTTATGTCATTTACCAGATAGTTTAAAAGATTTTTTTTGCGAAGTTTATCGATCTGAAGCCAAGGTAGCAAAGATTAAAAGGAAACTTGAGCCTTTTGAGGGAGATGTTATAAAGTATAAGGAAGATAAATTGAAAAAAGTACCACAAAAAAAATTAGCAGAAATCAATGGGATAGAAGTGCAAGAACAATCTGTAGAAATTAACAACTTGTTAATAGTGGGGCGCACTGGTAATGGTAAATCAGCACTTGCAAATGTATTGAGTGGTACAAATAAGTTTAAAGAAAGTGAAAAATCAGTTAGTGAGACTAAAAACTTTCTAGATGAGGAATTTACACATAATGAAAAAAGATATCGAGTGGTTGATACAATAGGAATGGGTGATACTAGATTATCTAAAAAACAAGTCTTAATAAGAATAGCCGAAGCTGTCTATACTATGAAAGAAGGAATAAATCAAATTTTGTTTGTTGTAGGAAGAAGATTCACTAAAGAAGAAATAGAAGCTTTTGAGTTACTAAAAAAAGTTATTTTTGAAAGTAATATTATCAAGCATACTACTATAGTAAGAACAAATTTTACTAATTTTAGGAATCCCGATAAATGTAAAATTGATCGTCAAGAATTAGTTGGAGACAGTAAATTTCTTGCTGAACTAATAAACTCATGCAATGGAATTATTTACGTTGATAATCCTTCTGTTGAAGTTGAGTGTGAGCGACGTCTACTTTTAAACAAAGAAGATAGAGAATTTTCAAGAAATAAAATACTAACGCACTTAGAGGGTTTTCAAGGAAACTATAAACCGTATTTGAAAACTTGGGACCAGCTTTATCTAAAGATTCGTAACTATATAAAAATAAAGCATGATTTAGAAGAAGCTCTAAAAAGCTCAAATATTTCTTCTGAGGAGATCGATAAGTTAAAAGCAAAAATAGAAAAATTAGAATCAAAAGTTGTTGGAGAAACAGAATTACGGTGTGATGTGGAAATACCTTGCTTTGCTAAAATAAAAATAAATTTTAGAAGCTTGAATGGTATGTGCCATATAATTTAGAGTTATAAATTTTTTTCTCGATTTTCAAATTCTAACTATATGAGAATTGGAAATCTAGAATTTGAAAGCTAGTATAAAATACAAACTTAGCATTAGCTTGATTGATTAAAACTGCATTACTTTTGTTATCTCGTTTTACTATATTTATTATTATTTGTAAGTTAAACAGTAATTTTCATTATAACCTAATTTTACTATGTGATTACCTGCATTCATTATATTCACATTTTTATAAATTTTTATAATTATTAATATATTAAGAATGTTTTAAAAATGTAAATTTAGCAAATGTCATTACCTAATTTAGAGTGTCAATAATAAATCTTGTAAATTAGAAATATGTCATCCCGAAATTTTATTTAGGTCCAGTAATATTATATTTAGGTCTAGTAATATTATTAAGTAAAATATCAGAATTTAGGCGAGCACACATTTGTACTGTAACTATACTCATGACAAGTTGGCCTGCATTGGGTATATTAGCCGTGGTTCTGTTAAATTTGTTGTGACTTTGTATGTCGGGATTTTGTTTATCGGGATTCTGCTGCCGAGATACACAATATCATTAAAAACATTACGACACGTTTATAAAAACCATAAATTTGAAGAAAATTGTCACAAAATAACACCATGGGACTTTATTTTACGCGAAAATGGTAACCCTTGATTATACAATATGACGCGATATTATCAACAAATGTTCTGTATTTAAGTTTGTAATGCGACGAAGTGAAGTTATATGCTGAGTAAAGCAAGGCCGAGAGTTATATATATAAAATTGAGGAATCTAAGACGAATCAATATTGCTTATGAATCTTAATAGTTCGATTCAAAGCTAGTCTTATGTAGTGATATTTATTTTCATTTTTATTAATTAAATAATAACATCGGTAAATTAACAAACTACGAAAAAAAGAAATTATGAATAACATAAATTTTATCATTTTATTAACAATTAGCCTCCGATCTATGTGAAGGAGTATAAAAAATTTGATATATATATTTTGTAATTATGATTTAAGTTCTGGAAGTTAATGTTGATTGTAATTAACGGATAGCGGATTGAATGAGTTTAATATTAGATATATAAAATAACGGTATTATTTAAACAATTTAATGGATGTTAACAGTTCGGTCTAGTTCGGATTGGCCAATTTTGGTTCAGTTACAATTGGTCTTTTTGGTTTAATAGGATTTAGTACAAGACCATCAAAGACCTTTAGTTCAAACTTATAATAAAAAATCATTTTAGAAAGGTCTTTTATTGTAATGTAAACTAGTCGATTACTAATAACATTCAGCTCAAATATGAAAAATTCGACATCTGAATTTTGGATGAATTCAGATTTATTTAGAATTCAGATGTCAAATTTTAAAGAGCAAAATTTATACTAAATATTTATTAATATATATATAGATTAAAGTGATTTATTAAAAGCATTCAAAACTTGCTGTTAATTATATATTTTTTATTAGCAAAAAAAAAATAAATAGATACAAAATTTATAAAAAAGAATTTTTAAAAAATGTTTAAATTTTTTGGTTGCTTTACTATTCTCTATGAAATCAGAAGCCAGTTTTTTGCCTCTTCTTTTTTTATATCTATGTATCTTTTTACTATTTTTACTATATTTTTAGAATTTCTTTTTAACTCTCTCTAATTTTTTTTTCAATCACCAGTTATCTTTTCCATTTAAGTCTGTGATTGACTGTGAAATGTCTTAATTGTTGGATAGACTAATACTTATTTATTTATAATCTGTTACTTTCTTTTTAGACTAGAACAGTAATGATCATCATTAAAAAATTTTATATGTTCTATATATTCTGTATTTTCTGTACTTTTGTACTACTAAACTACTGAACTGCTTACATGTTAGAATATTCATAAGTATTGAATAAGTTCTCTAAAGATTTTTATCATACTTAGATATATTTATATTTTTTTCTTGTTATATGATCTTCACTTTAATGAATTGTTATTTACTTTGTTTTGATTGTCTGTTGTTTTATTAATTAAATTATTTATAGTAAGTTTTCTCATATGAAATACTGAAAAAAATATTAAGTTGTCATAAAATTTTATTGTTTCATGTTAGTATTTAGATTTTAGTAACTCTACTTATATCACCAATTTACCTTATGATCAATCTATTAGTATTAACATGTAACTTGGTTTTATTCTGCTAATTTTTTTTAATATTAAAGATAAGTATTTGTGACCCAGGTTTTTATTGATAGTATGTTTTAGCTTTGTGATTGTATTACAACAATCATAAGAGGCAATTATAGAAAGAGTGTACAACTAGTCACTCATACAACTTTAGTTATTGTTTAATTTAAATAGTTTATTCAAAGGTTCTACACTAGTTGCTATGCCTAAAACCTATTTGTAAGTTCTTTATTTAAACATTCTAGTTTCTGTGTTCACTCACCTACCTACTTTACCAACTGCCTCAGTTTTTATCAGTAAAATATACCAGAATCACTAGGTCTTTAAAGTGATTTACTCATATAGAAAACCTTTGACCTTGTATTAAACTTGTTAGAGCTTTCTGTTATCCAATTTCTAGCTGACCCAGTATTACTATAACTGAGACCAATACTTGCAGTTAGAGTAACCCTTAAACTGCTACACCCTTGTAGAGTTTATATACCCTAGTATTCCTCTTTACAACCTTATCAATACCTTGTACATATTTGTAAGTTCTTCTATACTATCAATCTAGTTAGCTCTGTATAATGAAACTTTATATCTTGTTCAACTAGTAGTCAGGTTGGTGAACCCTTTTATCTAGAATTCTTGTCGATACAGATTATCTGTTTCAGGTTTCTGTCTTTGGATTAAGATTTTCACAAATGGTACTTTCAAAAGTCATATTATTTTTCTATTTAGAATTTTCAAATAGGCTTCTTATAGAGTATATACTTTTCAGATTTATTTATATAATATTGTATACTTCCAAAGTTAGTCTTGGTACAATCAGAATTACAAAGTTACAATCTTAGATACTCTATACTAGTTGTCAGAATAGAACCATTTTTCAAATTTCTACTACTAATAAAATTTAAATTCTGGACCTACTGCTTAGAGAATGACAATCTAATTATTACACTAGGATCACTATCTTTTTGTTTTGCTTTTTTTTATTTATGATAATTAACAGATTATTCATTTCAAGATAGGTGTTAAAGTAAAAATGTTTCATTCTGTTCAGTTAGTTTGCAAGACTGTGAACTAGTTTTATAAAGGCTATAAACTATAATTAAAAATTGTAAGTAGTAATGTAATGCCAATTCTTTTTTTTTTTTTTTTTTTTTTTTTTTTTTTTTTTTGCTTACGCTAAGGCCTTTTAGTTATGGCGGCTACTGCCTTTATTGTGAATTCAATTATGATTACATAACTTGTACAAGGTTACCCCTATACTACACTAGCAGATAGCAGCACAAGCTCCTATACACCTAATTAGATGCCATCTAACCTAACCTTGACCTTCCTGTCTGTATGTCTGTCAGGCCGTTACACATTTCAGAGTATGTCACCTGACTATAGGGCTCCAGGGGGCCCCTCTGCTAACTAACTACCTACATTTAATCTTTGCTAACAGGGCTTTGCCCTTGCAGAGTTCACCCAGACCCCAGCACTGACTTCACAGCATATCCTTAGTACTTTAGTATACCCCTGTTTCTGACCTCAGACTCTCAATCCAGATAGCCCAGTAGAACTGTGACCTGTCTCTGGTATCCCAGGGTCTGCCTCCCAAGGTCCTTTTTCTTTGGTTCGAGTCTTCTGGCAACCTGGTTGGTGGTACTCCTCACCTGAGGTTCTTGCCTGTCTGATTCCTTCCACATTGGTATCCATTTCCTAGGTCTAGCCTTTACAGTAGTACTGTTGAAGATCCATGTTACCTTTTTACTCAGGTCTTCCCAAGTGGGCTTCCGGTTATCCCAGTTCACAGATTTACATGGCCACAGATGCCCCATGACCTGCCAGTTATCTGGTGCGACCATGTTACAGGTACTGATCCCAACTGATTGATAGATAGCCATTGTCATAGTACTGGTTTCAAGAACTTATCTTGTGTTTGCACCACCCATTGCCAGTTTGCATTCCTCTGTGTAACTCTAGCATTGCACAGATGCCTGTATATACCGATGTAACATAGAAACAGGTGGAAACGTTAAATGTTACACAAACTACCATGTGATCAACATTTCGCATATTCAACAGCAACCAATAATTTTGTAGTATTTTATAGTATAGCGATAGTAAAAAATATGAATCCAGCTCAATTATAATTTGATCATAATTAAGTAATAATTAGGCAATAATAAAACAAAAAAAAAAATTTCATAAATACTTTATTTATTGCAAATTCAAAAATGTCAATTTTACATATTTCAATAACTTTTCTACTTCAATCCCATTGCCTATCATTTCATCTATATTATCTGAATCATCATTATTGTTCTTATCCCTATCGTCAAGTATTTCAGCATCAATTACTTTATTAGTCATACCTACTACCAGTGCATCAACATTTTTCTTGATTTTGTCTTGAAGATAACCTAAGCAAATAAAACATTTAAAATGTGATTTTCGTAAGCAATAGTTATGGTAACCATGCTCACATGCCAAAACATTGCCATTGTGCAAATCAGATACATTGGGTTTTTTAGAGGTAACAAAACCTTTCGGAAGGTAACGATCCGTTATTTCATAACCCAACGAAGGTAGTTCGTATGTATTAATATCATCATTACTTGTAAATTTAACAATAGGGTGTTTGTCATGATTCCGATATACTTTCGCAAATCTTTCTAAAAGCCATATGCGAAAGCATGTCTAACTGCTTTGAAATTTTGTTGAAAAGAATTGTTACGTCATTGCTGGAAAATGAAGTGTGCCTCTTTTTGTAATTGCTCAGCTGTAAAAAACTTAACATTATTTCTTCGAATAATGCTATAAGCAATCTCAACTGGACTATCGCTAAGAGAAGCTAAATGGTTAATAATCATATTCATTATTGGATGACCAGTTTCCATCCAATAAAAAACATCTGAAAAAAACATTAAAGGGGCACATTTATAATTTCTTTGATTGAATCGTAAGAAAAGGTCACTCCAACAACACATGCATGCTTCCTCATACGATGCCCAATCTCCACTTCGATGATGTACAGCATAGACATCAAGAACTAAAGGAACTAAATTGCTAAATAAATCAGTAAGGTATAAAAATTCAATGTTTTTACATGTACAATTAAATTTTGAGTAAACTGTATCGGTGATATTGGACCATGCCAAGCATACAATATGGAGAATTAAATTAATTCTCCATGAACGTGGCTTCTGACCAATTTTCTTTTTTGCCCCAAATACTCCCTTATAAATATCGCTAAATAAATCCAAATTTTTTAAGTAGACAAGTTCATGGGAATTTAAAGACACGTGAAGGGGCCCCATCATAGGCAAGAATGATATAACAAACTGAGGAATGCATTCATTGTTAAGAAGAAGCCATTGTGCAATTGCTTTATGGATGAAAAATTGCCCTGGCCAATCTGCAACAATGGGAACTGCATAATTTGAAAGATACATTTGCATTGGCTCTTGTTCAGATACAATTCGAAGAGCATCAACATATTCCTCTATGTTCTTTAGTTCTTTTTTCATGAAGTCAACAAGAACAGAGTTGCATATATGTCGATCATTATTTTTTTCTGCAAGCCTATCATCATAGCTATGTACTGTTAGTCGATCTAATATTGTTTCATCAGTATATGCTTGTTCTCTGTCTTGCATACAGTTATAATATGAAACACCAAGATTTACAATAAATCATTCATCAAGATGTTTCATAATCAAGTTACTATTTATGAACTTTGGATTAATGATTTTATTACATGGTATTGGTGATATTAAGCATGGGTTCATCAAAATCGTTGCCATATGCACTGGCTTAGAAGTAGTTGTAGTGTTAGGCTGCTGTAGAACGTGAATATTATGATAGTCATCAACATTTAGCACAAGTGCATTTCCTGATTGCTGAAAAAGTGCATTCTTCACATATTTTTCATGTGTATCGATATCTTTTTCTTTCGTTGACCTACTGCTTGTGACATTGTAGTTACACCAAGATTCACCATCGTATTCAAGCCTTCTTTAGTTACACCTGCTGAATCTAAATAATACAAAAGATCAAACTTAAAAGAATTAATTTTAGTATTGTTCAAAGAAGCAAGTAAATAACAAATGAACACCATTATTCTCTTCATATGATTCATTGTTTGTCCAGTGCATGTAGATGGCCTAGCCACTAAATAAAGTTGCTCAAAAAAATACTTAAGATTAGGTTCATTTTTTTCTAATAGTTCTTGCAATTCTTCAAATATATAAATTGTATTTTTCTTTTTCACATGCTCTCTTTCATAAAGAATTTTTGCCATCATCCTAATGGCTTTAGAGAGCTCAATTTTTTCATTAAACGTACCTGCCTTTTTCATCTATATTTTTCACTTGCTTGCCTTTTTTTTTTAGTTTTCTTAGTAGATTTTCAACATGATCCATATAACATTTATTGCATAAAACAGTGCTTTTCTTCCACATTGTCTTTCCTAAACCGTTAGCCATGAACGAGTTCTTTCAATTTGTCTTCAGTCAATGAACAGAATTTTGAAGATTGTGTGGCCGGGCAGTTTGTGCAATGCTTACTTTCAGACATATTTAACACTAATATAA